GATAAACCCTAAGCCAACCTTCTCAAAAAAAGGAAAGAAAAGGCTCAAATTCATGCAGTTAGGAATGAAAAAGATGAAGTCACAATAGATCCAGGAGAAATCTGGAGATTCATCAATACCTACTTGGAGAACCTGTACTCTAACAAAATGGAAAATGCAAAAAGAAATGGACAGATTTCTAGATGTATGTGAATTATCAAATTTGAATGAAGAAGATAAGAAATGGACAGATTTCTAGATGTATGTGAATTATCAAATTTGAATGAAGAAGATAAAACAACTTTAAATATCCCAGTTACAATCAATGAAATTGAAAACATAATTAAAAATTTACCAACAAAGAAAAGCCCAGGTCATGATGGCTTCACTGCTGAATTCCACAAAACATTTAAAGAAGAACTTTTGCCACTACTCTTTAAACTTTTCAATGAAATTGAAAGGAAAGCAATACTTCCAAATTCATTCCTGGAAGCAAGTGTTACTTTGATTCCAAAACCAGGGAAAGACACAACCAAAAAAAGAGAACTACAGGCCAATCTCCCTAATGAACATAGATGCAAAAATCCTCAATAAGATACTGGCAAACAGAATACAGAGGGTCATCAAAAAGATCATACAGATTTATCCCAAGGATGTAAGGATGGTTCAACATACATAAACTAATAAATGTAATACACTATATTAACAGTCAAGGACAAAAACCATATGATTATCTCAAAGATGCAGAAAAGGCATTTGACAAAATTCAACACCCATTCATAATAAAAACTCTGCAGAAAATTGGAATACATGGTCTTTATCTCAATTTCATAATGGCTATCTGAAAAACCAACAGTCAACATCATATTAAATGGCCAAAAACTGAAAACCTTCACGCTAAAATCAGGAACAAGACAAGGATGTCCACTGTCACCACTCCTGTTCAATATAGTTCTGGAAACAGCCACAGCAATTAGACAAAAGAAAGAAACAAAAGCAATAAAGATAGGAAAGGAAGAAGTTAAACTGTCATTATTTGCTGAACATATGCTACTCTACAAAGAAAATCAAAAAATTCCTGCCAAAAGACTTCTAGATTTAATTGACAGATTCAGCAGAGTAGTTTGATACAAGGTCAACACTCAAAAATCAATAGCCTTCTTATAGACAAATAGACTCACTGAAAGAGAAATTAGGGAAACAATTCCTTTCACAATAGCATCCAAAAAAATGAAATATCTAGGAATCAATTTAATGAAGGAAGCAAAAGACCTCTACACTAAAAACTGTAGCACTCTGAAAAAAGAGAAGAGGATATGAGAAAATGGAAAGACATCCCATGCTCTTGGGCAGGAAGAAACAAAATAGTGAAAATTGCCATACTACTAAAATTGCTATACAGATTCAATGCAATGCCGATTGAAATTCCAACAGTATATTTCACAGAACTACAGAAAACAATCCAGAAATTCATTTGTAACCGGAAGAGATCTAGAATAGCTAAAGCAATTCTAGGCAACAAAGACATGACAGGAGGTGTCACAATCCCCAACTTGAAACTATATTACAAAGCCACTGTGATAAAAACAGCATGGTACTGGCAAAGAAACAGACCCAAAAATCAGTGGAATAGATTGGAAGATACAGAAACAACTCCAGATGTACTCAGCTATCTCATCTTTGACAAAGGAGCCAGCCATCCTCAGTGGAGGAAAGATAGCCTTTTCAATAAATTGTGTTGGAAAAGCTTGATTTCAACCTTCCAAAGATTAAAACTAGACCCGTATCTTTCACCGTGCACTAAACTAAAATCCAAGTAGATTAAAGATGTTAATATTAAAACAGAAAACGCTAAACTTTCTGGAAGATAAGTTAGGTTAGAACTCTTGAAGACACTGGCATAGGAAAAGACTTTATAAACAAATCGTCAGTAGCATGGGAACTGACACAAAGAATCAACAACTGGGATCTCATCTTATTAAAAAGCTGTTGTACAGCAAGAGAAGTCACCAGCAGAGCTAAGAGAGAACCTACAATGTGGGAGAAAATTTTTTACCACCTGTTCCTCAGATAAAGGTCTACTATCTAGAGTATATAAAAAACTAAAAAAAAAAAAATCAGATCCCCCAAATATAAAGACATGATTAAAAAATGGGTATCTGAAATGAACAGACAATTCTCAGACAAAGAAGTAAAAGCAGCAAATAAATATATGAAAAAATGTTCAACATCACTGGTCATTCAAGAGATGCAGATGAAAACTGCGATTCTACCTCACCCCACAAAGAATGGCTGCTATCAAGAAATCAACCAATAACAAACACTGGTGGGATCGTTGGGAGAAAGGAACCCTTCTTCACTGTTGGTGGGGGTGCAGACTGGTGCAACCACTGTGGAAATCAGTATGGAGATAACTAGGATTAGAAGTCCCATTTGACCTAGTTAATCCCTTGCTGGGTATCTTTCCAAAAGAGTTAAAAGAATCATTCCACAGTGATATATGTTCGCCCATGTGTATAGCGGCTCATTTTTTAATAGCTAAAACTTGGAAACAGCCCAAGTGTCTATCAACTGGAGTCTGGATAAAGAAGATGTGGCTTTTCTATAAAATGGAGTACTACTCAGCCATAAAGAAAGAAACTAGAGTCATTTATAGCTAAGTGGATGCACATTGACACCATACTCGTAAGTGAAATAAATAGGACACATGTAAATACTGAATAGTTTCTGTGGTGTGAAAAACTAAAAATGTTAATAAGGTTCAAATGGTATAATTGAGAATGTGAAATAGGAAGAAAATGGCTAAAGGGCAAATGGGAAGGGGAGGAGAAAGGAAATAAGGGAGAAGAAAAAAATCTGAAAAAAGGAAAAAATGAAAACAAATTATTTGTAAATAGGGAAGAGTGGGGGGCTGGTAAAAGGCGGGTTAGGGGGATGGGGAAAAAATAAGAACCAAAATATATCATGTAAAGGTACAAGATCCCAGTGTACTGCATACCTAAAAAGTACCAATAAACTCAATGAAAAAAATAAAAAGAATAAACTCTTACTAGCCCCTTGCTTCCCTTGGTGTGAGCTGCAGGTTGGCCTTCCCCCATCACCTGGGAATTTGTTAGACATGCAAATCCCACCCGCATTCCTACTGGGTTGGAATATGCATGTTAACAAGATTCCAAAGGTGATTTTTATGCCCATCAGTCAGCGAAGCCCTGGTCTCCATGGGTGGTTTTGCAACTTTGAAGCACAACAGAATCACCTGGAAAATGCTGGGGCTCGAGTCCCTGGTACAGGACATGGCCTGAGAAAACTGTTGCCCTAGATAATCACAGGGAGATGCCACAAACCTTTTCCCGATAGGGACCTGGATGGAGAATCCCCAGCCCTCTGCCCTGCCTGAGAGGAGAATCCAGGAAAGCTAGTGCTCCACAGGGCCTGGGATCAGGCCCTCTTCCCTTGGGTTGTTTTAGTATTGCCACCTGCTTAAACAGAGTTGCAGACAAGAGGTTCCAGGGCTTCTGTACCAAAGCCAGAGTAAATGGAATGTGTTTTTCCCACCTTTAAAACAAACAGAGCCTGAGGGGCTGCTGCTGAGAGCTATGAAACCAGGAGGGGGACAGGTTGGTGACCCTGCTCTGCCCCTTTTCTGGAGTATTATTTATTTTTGTTAATTTATCATTATTGGTATTTTTGAGACAGGGTCTCCTTGTGTAGCACAGCCTGGCCTTGAATTCAAGGTCCTCCTGTCTCAGCCCCAGTGCTGTGATTACAGATGTGTGCCACTATGTCCCACTCTGGAACTTTTTTTTTTTTTTTCTTTTTGTACCAGTGATTGAACTTGGGACCTTGTGCTTGCAAGGCAAGTGGCAGAACCACTGAGCTAAATCACAGCCTGGAATGTTCTTTATAAAGATTCTTTAAATCCATGGCTTTTTAAAAAAGGTGTGCTGGGAGATGAGCCCAGGGCCTCATGAATCCTGGGCAAGTGCTCTATCACTGAGCTACATCCCCAAACATTCATTCATTCATTCATTCATTTATTATGAGACAGGGTCTAGCTAAGCTCTCCAGGCGGGCCTTGGACTTGCCATCCTCCTGCCCCAGCTGAGATTATAGGTGTGCACCGCCATGCCCAGCAGTCCCAAAACTGTTGTCTTTGAACCCTCCTTGTGAATGTTCAGAGTTGTTCTGGATAGCACAACAGCCACATTCCTCATAGTGTGTGGAAAATACCCCTCCAAGGTCCTGGGCATCTGACTCATAGTCCAAACTCTATTGGATCCCACTGCACTTGTGCTGCAGAGACCTCCTGAAAGCAAAATTACTCTCCAATAGAAACATTTACCAAAGAAGACCACAACAACCCTTGCACTTCCAAAGAATAGAGCTGAGTCCACTGGGATGGGAGGAGCCAAACTGTTTTCACCAAGAGAACCAAATTGTAAATTCATATCCTAGATAATTTACACATAGGAGTAATAACTGTCATTGTAGATTACTTTTTTATGTGCCAGTATCTGTGCTGTGTGTTTACAAATATTCAGTCCTAGCTATGGGGTTAATATTACTATTGTGTTCATATTACATATGTGGAAACCAAGAATCATTATGTATTTTGCTTAAGGTTACAAAGGCAAACTGCTCTCAACCATGGCTAGTTAGGAACAGCTCCATGTGGTGGGGAAAGAGTCGGCTCATTGGACACTACAGGGATTTCAAGGTGTGTGTGTGTGTGTGTGTGTGTCTGTGTCTGTGTCTGTGTTAATTACTGGAGCTCTTTCTGTCTCTCTTAATTTGCCTGAGGGTAGGAGATTTGCCTGTTTAATAAAACATCCAATTGTTGCTCTTCTGACTGATAATAGGGGCTGTGGACCCTCACCCACTCCCACACTGCTGCTTCCTGATGCTCACAGGAAGTGTTTCTGCCTCAGTGGTCTCTGGCCTCAGTATTTCCAATCCCAAGGCTACTCCCCGACTGCTTCACACCTGGGTCAGCTGAGAAGATTCTCCCCATTTGTTACCAGATGGAGGGGCCCAGGCTCTCAGTATCCAGAACAAAGAATTCAACATGACACCCAGAGAAGGTAGTGAGCATGTGCATTCACCTAAGGTGGAAAAGAAGTATATTCTACGGGGCTTGACGTGGCCAGGTAACAAACTTACAGCAGCCCTGAGGAGAAGGGAAAAGGGGTCTTTTGTGTCTGAAATTCCTGATTGGCTCCCCCTCATGCAAATAAGGTGTTAGGACAGTTTTCCTATCAAAAACACCCTTGGCCTGGAGCCACCTTTAAACTTTCCTAAGCAAGGATTTGCTTGCCACCTGACAGATGTAAACAAACTGAAAACAGCACTTTTCTGATTGGTCCTGCAAACAGTGCCAGATTCAGATGAGGAATTGAAAATGCTTTCTGATTTCTTTTATGTGCAGTGATCGGGAGCCAATGTGAGTCTTGTGTTCTGTGCATGTTACCTGGGTCCTCGTGACCTTTGACACATTCCACCCAGCTGTTTGTCCTGTTTGCCCCAGCTCTGATCTACCTCAGGTCCATGGGGGGAATGGCAGTCATGGAGAACAGGCTGGGGCACAATATTGCTTTCAATGATTCACCTAAAATACTGTTAAGTATGAAAAACTTGATTTAACTCCTTTTTTATTTTTTTTAATTTATTTTTTATTTTTTATATTTTTGAGACAGGGTTTTGAAGTATAATTCAAGTCGGCCTTGAACTCATGGCAATCCTCCTGCCTCAGCCTCCCAGGTGCTGGCATTAGAGTCGTGTGCTACCATGCCCAGTTTAACTCCTGAAATTGCAGTTATTTGAAAACAGCAAGGGGAGAGTGTCCTGAGGAAGTGCTGTAATAAAAAATTTCAGCTGAGTGTGATGGTCTATGCCTATAATCCCAGCACTTGGGGAGACAGAGGTAGGAGAATCCCAAGTTCAAGCCCAGCCTGGGCAATTTAGCAACTTGGTGAAACCTTGACTCAAAATTAGAAATTAAAAATTAAAAAAAAGGCTGGGGATGTAGTAAGGGCCCTGGGTTCAATGCTCAGTACCATTAAAAAACAAAGTCAGTTGAATTTGAACCCCTAGGGTTGATCCACATAAGGGTGCAGTCTTGCTGGGATTGTGTATAGGCACAAGCATGTGGAGTAAGCATTAATGAATCAGTATGTCTTAGTTGCTTTCTCATTGCTGGGATGAAATACACAACACTCACAAGTTAAACGGAAAAAGGTTTATTTTGGCTCAGAGTTTGTAGAGGTTTCAGTCCTAGCCATCTGGCTCCAAGGCAGGGTGGTGCGCAGAGGAGAAAGAGCTCATGGCATGGCAGGAAGCAGACGGCCATCAATGGGGGAGGGATACATAGATCCCCTTCCAGGCCTCGCCCACAGTGACCCACCTGTTCCCACCAGCTTTACCTCCCAACATCACACCCAGCTATAAACCCACCGGAGGATTAATCCAGTATCACACATGATAAAGCCACCTTCCAAAATCCCCACCTGTGAGCGCATGGGGCTTTGGGGGACACCTGCATCTAAGCCCTGATGCAGTACTGGTCCAATCTGAGGCATTGACTGTGTGTGTAGTAGGGGTGCACTAGCTTGCACATCTGAGACCCTGCTAGACCCAGGAGTACCTGTACATTCCATCTGAGCTGGGGCTGCTCCATCCCAAAGGCCCACCGACTGCTTTCATGGGGACCTGTTACCAGACTGGGTGCAAGGAGGTCCCCAAAGCAGAGCTGGGGAACCCTGACTCATCTGCCCCACAGGACAGATTGCAGGTTCACTGACTTCCATCACAGAAAGAATTTTCTGGATGTGTCAGTAAAGAGACATAAAAGGATTTATTGAGCAGAATTTAAAGTACACACTCAAAGTGGAACTGAGGATATTTATGTATTTGGGGGGTGAAATCTGTGGAATTTGTGAATCTATACAAAGTTTGGGCTTGGTTTGCAAGAGAAAAATGATAGTTCGCCTATCCTCAGGAGTAAAGGAAAGGGCTCATTTCACAGCCCATTTTAAAGTAGGAAGGCAAGAGCCCAGACCATTGTATTTCTGCCTTCTGCCTTATCAACCAAGTTTATTTGTGAATTTAAAATATCTTTAAGAGATTTGGGGTGTGACAGGCCTGGAGGAAAAGAAACATAAATGATCCTAGATACTATGGATTTGGAGAACCTTGGGTAACTTTGGGTCCTGAAGTTGCTGTCTTCTTAAAAGTAATTTTGTTTGTTTGTTTGAGACAAGGGCTCACAGTGTAGTTCAGGCTGGTTTTGAACTCACTGTGTAGCCTAGGCTAGCCTCAAACTTTTGGCAATCTTCCTGGATCAGCCTCCCAAGTGCTGGAATTATAGGCATGTGCCACCACACCCATCTAAAGTACAATTTTAAAATTATTATTCTCTTGGTCTCCTTTCTACCTATCTTTATTTCTTTTTACCTCAGACCAGGAAACCACACCTAGAAAACCAGCAAAAGGAGTGTGAGTTGTGGATTTCAAGATCACTGCTGGTTTCAGAAATTAAGTTTTTGCTTATATTTCAAATACTTTTATTTAACTTTATCAAAACTCTGATTTTTTAAAACACAAAAGAAACCACTTACCATTTAAGTAATTGTTTCCACTTATAACTCATGTGAATTCAATACTTATATTTCTTTGAAGTTACTTGAATTTTTAAAAATATTTATTTACTTATTTATTTTGGTTTTTTGAGACAGGGTCTCCCCCTTTAGTACAGGCTGGCCTTGAACTCACTGTGTAGCCCAAGATGGCCTCAAACTCAAGATGATCCTCCTGCCTCAGCCTCCCAAGTGCTAGGATCACAGGTGTGCGCCACCATGCCTGGCTAGATTTTTTTGAAGAACAGTGAGCTTTATATCTAATACTTTATTGATTTTTCTTTTTTTTTTTTGCCTAGTTCCATATGTTTTGAAGAGCTGTGCAGAATTTATTGAGACTCACGGCATTGTGGATGGAATCTATCGACTTTCGGGGGTCACCTCAAACATACAGCGACTAAGGTAAGAGAAAAGAACCCAGGAGAAATCTTCCAGGACCCTTGCTCTGTCCAGCCCTCTGTTGGGCAGGATTCCAGATACCAAAACCCGGAAGGGAAGGGGAAGGTGGCAGTAGATGAAAGAAACTGGCACCCGCTAAAGGTCACTCTACGCACCGACAGAGCTTGTATGAGAGATTTATTGTAGAGCCACTGCAGCACAGTGGCCAACTTGGCAAAGGAGGAAGAGGAAGAGAGATAGATCTGGGTGGAAGGGGCTTGGTTATATAGCGGGTGGCTGGTGTAAGGGGTCAGGGAAGTGCATCAGCTGCGTGGGCAGCCACTCAGGTGTCATTATTTGTGATCCATTCCTTATATGGACAAGCCTTGCTTGTGCGTCGGTTTTGCTTATGGATGATGACACGTGATGTAGGAAATGGAAATTTAAGGTGTAAAATGGCAGTCACTAGCCAAAATGGCGACAGCCATATCAAGGTAGTTATCTTATATTCCTCCCTTTGTTTGTTTGTTATGGCTCAGGAAGAGGGGCGATGAATCTCTCTTCTGTAGCTACTTCCTGCTGAAAAGGGGCAGATGTGAGATGGTGAGAGGCCGAGGGGAGAGGGATATATATATAAAAATTTTAGAACTCTGGTGGTCTTGGACCCTGGTAGTGTTTCTGCCTGCTGATTGTCTGTTGGTATCTCCACTCCATGTAGATGTAGAGTTGCCAGAGGGCCAGCCTTCTTGGGACCTTTAAAAGCACAGTGACAGTGAGGTTGATCTGTCCTGGGGATAAAGCCAATGGAGATCCTGCTGTAGCTGGGAAAAGAAATGGAGAAATCGTGAACGCATCCAAGCCTGAGTCATGTATCGTCTGTCAGTTGTTGCTTATCTGGAGGATGAGTTGGAAAACCATCGGGTCCTGTAAAATAAGCTGGTTGACAGTTTGGTTGGAAATTTTTTGTATCTGGTTTTGGAGAAAGCAGAGTAGGCAGCAAGCTATTGTAGCAATTATAAGAATGCATATAAGGGGACCCAATAAGGGTAGGACCCAGGGTAGGAGACTGTGGAAAATGGAATAGGATTGACTTTTTTGAAGCTCTTCTTATCTTCTCTTAATTTTGTCTCAGAGGTCTTTAATCTTAGAGGTGACTATGCCTGACTGGTCAACAAAATAACAACAGTCTTCTCCTAACATATGACAGATACCCCCTTGAGTGGCTGTGAGAACATCTAGGTAAACTATTTTAGGTTGAGACAATTGAACCTTAGATGGTGAAACCTTGTAACCTTTTTGGGACAGAAAGTTAAGAAGGGTATAGGTATCTTGTTGTGAGGCCTCTAGAGAGGGACTGCAGAGGAGAAGGTCATCAACATATTGGAGAAGAAAGGAGGATTTGAAGACTAAGGAGGTCAGGTCTTTTGCCAGGGTCTGGCCAAACAGATGGGGGCTGTCCCAGAATCCCTGAAGGAGGATTGTCCAGGTGAGTTGGGTAGAGGTTTGGGTATGAGGGTCTGTCCACATGAAAGCAAAGAGATCTTGTGAGTCAGGGTGTAGTGGAATGGAAAAAAAAGGCATCTTTGAGGTCTAGTACTGAGAAGTGAGTAGCATGTGAGGGGATGGAAGAGGGAAGTGTATATGGGTTGGGAACAACAGGGTGTATGGGGACAATCGCCAAGTTAATGAGTATAAAGTCGTGGACCAGTCTGTATGACCCATTAGGTTTTTTGACAGCAAGGATGTGAGTGTTATAAGGTGAATTTGTGGATCGGAGAAAGCCCTTGTGGAGGAGTTCTTGAACTACTGGTTGAAGGCCCAAGAGGCTAGCGTGAGAAAGTGGGTATTGGGAAGGGAAGGGAAGGCAGTGGGATCTTTGAGGCTAATCTTGACAGGAGGGCAAGAAGCTAAAGAAGGAGTTTTGGGTCTACCAAATCAGGCCAAGGCAAATTATTGGGTGGTTTATTTTCTTGGGAGGGTTGAAGGGCCATGAGAAGAGTGAGGGCAGGAGACTCCTGTTTTGGCCCAGGATTGGCCAAGAAGGTGATGGTAGTTCCCGGTTTTACTAGAATGTCTCGGCCTAGTAAGGGAGCTGGACAGACGGAATGGCAAGGAAGGAGTGAAGGATGAGAAATTGTCTATCACACAATGCAACATTGGTGTCTGAAGTAGGCAGTATGTTGTGCCCTCTAAACCCGACAATAGAGGTCTGAGATGGAGAGGTAGGACCATGACATTCCCAGAGGACCGCAGAGGTCACACCGGTGTCTAATAAAAAGGCAGTCATCTTACCTGCCACTGTACTAGTTACTCTGGGCTCTCTTGTGGTGACGGTCATCAGGGGCGGGAAGCCAGGGCCATGTCAGTCATCCATCGCCAGTCCCAACAGATCTGTACAGGGGATGTCTGGTCTGGATGGCCTGGAGCCTCTCTGAGCCAGGGTACAGTCAACGGCCCAGTGACCGTCCCGTTTACACTTTGGGCAGGGACCAGGAGGTGGTCAAGGATTTGGGCAGGCTCTTGCCCAGTGGCCTTCTTCTTTGCACTTAAAGCATGGGCCTGGTGGTGTTATCTTTCTGAGCCCTCGGATACGGAAAGGCCTGGCTAGGTTAGGATTGATGGCCTGTGCAAGCATTTGACATTTTTGTTTGCGGGCGCGGTTGTCGCACCCATTATATACTTTAAATGCCATGGGCAGGACCTCAGCCTGGGGTGTTAAAGGTCCCCTCTCTAAGCATTTAAGCTTGGCCTTTATGTCAGGGTAGCTCTGTGAAAAGAAGTGTGTCATGAGGAGTTGTCTTCCATCAGCAGTCTCCGGATCTAGATTGGAGAATTGAAGTAAAGCCTCAGTGAGGTGCTGAAGAAACGCCGAGGGGTTCTCGAGTATGTCCTGGATAACCTCCCAGAGTTTTTCGTAATTGACTGCCTTAAGGGCTGATCAGCAGAGTCGCTGCATACCTTGGCCTATTGCCAAACTCTCCTGTGCTCCTCAGGGGTGAGGGTGTTGGAAAGAATCATGAAAATATCATATCAGGTTAGGCTGTAGGACTGGGTGATATATTGGACCTCAGGGATGAAAGAAGCCGAGTTGGTGATTAAAGAACCTAATCTTTTCTCATTCTACAAGAGGTCAGACAGAGAAAAGGGAACATGAACCCTGACCACGCCCTCAGCCCCCACCACATCACGAAGGGGGGTGACAGTGTGGCCGGAAGTGGGAGGAGTGTGTTGGGTCCTAGTAGAGGTAACAGGCCCTGGGGGGTCTGGATGATCAGAGCCTGAAGGCCCTTGGAATGGAGGTTGGGGTGGAGGTGGGGGAGGTCTGAAGTGGTAGGGAGGAGGTTCATCTGCTGGATCAAATTCTTCGGGGGCAGAGGGTAAATTCAGGGTTTTAGTTGCAAGAATAACATGACAAGGCTGACAAGAAGAACAGAGGAAAGGTTTAGCTCTTAAGTAGGAAAAACCCTGAACATAGGTAATCTCGCTCCATTTGCCCATATGCTCGCAGAAGTTGTAAAGATCTCAGATGAGTGAGGGATCAAAAGAGCCATGAGGTGGCCACTTATTTTGGTTATCTAATAAATATTGAGGCCAAATTTGAGTAGAAAGCCTAATAAAGTGTTTAGGTTTTACGTCAGGCGTGAGGCCGAGGCTCGTGAGATTTTTGAGTAGACAGCCCAAGGGGGAGTCTGTCAGAATGGATTGTCCCGAAACCATGGCAGAGAGAGGAGGTTTCTGTCAGACACTGAGGCGTCCCTGGGTGAAAGACAGAAGACCGCAAGATTAGTAGTGCCACTCAAGAAGATCGTCACTGCTCTGGAACAAAGCACTAGGGCCAATGGGCTGTAGGAGACTTGGGACCTGACATCAGGAATTTTAAGTGAGAGGCCGAAAATGCACCAAGTCTCTGCCATGGGAATCAAAACCCAGACAGACGAGCCTGTGAATAAAGGCTGGTTACTCACCTATCAGTGAGGCCGGTGGTGGGTGCATAGAGCCGTCTGGACGAACGGACACGAGTTGTCAGGTGGAGGATGGGGTGTCAAGGCGTGGGGTCCCTAGACCCTCAGCGTTAAAGCCAGAAACTAGGTAACACCCAATCCGAGTCATGGCACCAATGAAAGAAACCAGCGCCTGCCAAAGATAACTTCACACACCAACAGAGCCCATGTGAGAGATTTATTGTAGAGCCCCTGCGGCACAGTGGCCTACTCTGTGAAGGAGGAAGAAGAAGAGAGAGAGAGCTGGGTGGAAGGGGCTTGGTTATATAGCAAGTGGCTGGTGTAAGGGGTCAGGGAATTGCATCAGCTGCGCAGGCAAACACTCAGGCATCATTATTTGTGATCCATTCCTTATATGGACAAGCCTTGCTTGCACGTCGGTTTTGCTTATGGATGATGATGTGTGATGTAGGAAATGGAAATTTAAGGTATAAAATGGCAGTCGCTAGCCAAAATGGCGACAGCCATATCAAGGCAGCTTTCTTATAGTAGAGATCAGAGGACTGTTTTCAGATGGCTGATTGTTCTTAGTAGAGTGAGAAAGCTCTTGGCCTGACATGATTCTTTCCAACAAAAGCTTTTAATCTGTTTCTCAGCTCACTCCGGGTTTATCCTCCTTGTGGGGATTTGATTTAACTCAAATGATCTAAATTACAAGTAAGCAAAACAGTTCGATGAGATCTCTTGCATAGTATTCAGAACTCAGAACTCCAAAGTCCTGGGAAGCTTTCTTGTGGCACATTGGATATTTCATCTAGTCTAGGAATCAAAGGTCTTGTGCTTGCTCATTTCTCTGATTGATGCTAGTGTTTAAAAAATTATGGATAGATGAACCTTCTCCAGTTCTAGGGATTTGCCGGGAACGTTTGGGTGAAATTTCTTTCGCATGAAATTAAGACAGCAAAAACAGTTATACAAAACAAATACGTGTGAGGAGAAAGAGGATACAAAGTTACTTTTCTATAATTAGAGGAGTAGGTTTATGTGTTTTGCATATTATTTTTAACACCAAAAAGAACATAGTCATTAGCTTTATGTTTATTATATGTTCTTTATTTATAGACTTTTACAACAATAAAAACATTCTTATCACAAAGTTAATATGCAAAATTTAATAGATGATGTTGATGATTAGTTTTTCATCTTCTTCCTCCTATTTTTTGGGGGGGTACCAGAGATTGAACCCGGGTCCTTGCACCTGCAAGGCAGGAAGCGGAACCACTGGGCTAAATTCCCGGCCCTTCCTCCTCCTAGTTGATTTCTGCCCCTCCCCTCCAAAATCTCACTTGCAATTATATTATGCCAAATGATTAAATCTTGCTTTCACTCCTGGGGAAGTGGTGACTGTTAAGAAAGATAACGTACATTTCAAACATAGATTTTAATGAACTTATGTGTTTACATAATTTTACTAATTTACTAGTGTGCTATTTTTAGAGTGTATTTTTTTTCCAGCCCTGGGGATAGACTCTAGGGACTTTCACATGCCAGGCAAAGTAAATGCCCCATCCTGGCTACTGAATGGCTCTAAGATGTGTCACACAGAGAGGAACCCTAGAAAGACACTGGAGTGGAGGCAAATTCTTTTTCACTTAAGGCATGGTTTTAGCCTTGGGGAGGGAAATTTTGAGCTAAATAAATGAATAAACTCTAGATTGTTCTTCTGCGCCCTTAGAAAATCATGTACCTGGCCAAGTGCAGTGGTGCACACCCGGAATCTCAGCACTCGAGGAGGCTGAGGCAGAAGGATTGCAAATTTGACCCTAGCCTGGGAAAATTAATAATTAGAGTAATCTTATCTCAAAAAAATGAAAAAGCTGTAGATGTTGCTTAGTACAAAGGCCCTGGGTTCAATTCTCACTACCAGAAAGAAAAAGGTGTGGGACAACACCAAGCAAGCTGTGAATTTATGAAGCTAGCGCCTAGCTCTCTTTACAAGGCCACGTCAAGCTGCCTCAGATTCCAGCAGCATCAGGGAGCTCCTCCCTGCCCTTTCTCACAGAGGCAAGAGCCAGAGCACACAATGGGCATGGGCTCTTTTGCAAACCCTTGTTCTGTGAGTCCTGTTGACTTTGGCACCACCTTGCTGACCATGTGAATACTCTCAAGAAGCTCAACTTCCATGTTGCAGTTCAAGTCTATCATTTATTAAACAGATGTTTAACTTGAGGTGGTAGAATGGGAAATGTGTTCTAATGCAAATCCAGGCCCAGAATCAGCTGATCAGTCCCAAAATTTCCCACCACACCTTAAGATATTTCCAAGCTCCTCTACCCTGCAGCAGCCTGCATGGGGACATGGAGCACCAGAGATTGTTGATTGAAGCTCCCTGTCCTGGGGTTTGAGACTCCAGATACAAGTGTGTTGTCTTTTTAATATATGGGTATGCCTGGTAACAGTCTCACTCACCCTGGTTTTGGTCTGTCTTATACAAAAGAGAATTTCATTTTGAACAATGTTTTGGAAAAACAGAAATCTCAATAGGCTTTCTTGGCAAACTGTTTTCATATTTCCCCGATGTTCATAACCAATGCTGTAATATAGTACCATGAAGAATCCATTTGTAGATGAGCTTTGTGTCTTTCTACTCACAGCAGATTTTGCAAAGACTCAGACCTGAAGTGAGAGTCTTCCTGTGGCTCCCTTGTGCCTGAGTAGCATCAAGGTCAATAATGTGGTCTGATGAGTTGTGCAGGGTCTTTTTACCCCTTAGCTGGCCAGCAGCTCTGACGTGGAACGTGTGCTCCCTGGGATTGTTATGTCTCTGTCTGTGTTGTTTCAGGCAAGAGTTCGGCTCTGATCAGTGCCCAGATCTGACGAGGGAAGTGTACCTGCAGGACATCCACTGTGTGGGCTCCCTCTGCAAGCTGTACTTCCGGGAGCTGCCTAACCCCCTCCTGACTTATGAGCTCTATGAGAAGTTCACGGTGAGTGTTTAGATTCCATGATGGTTACCAGGTGGGATACAAGGATGGGCCAAGGAGAGTTTCAGCCCTAAAATAACAATACTGATACTCACCAGCTGGTTGACATTATCTTAGCATGGTGATAGAAAGGGGATGGGATTATGAGGAAAGCAGGGGAGTGGCATTATTTACCAAGTTCTCTTTCTTGAATTTTCAGAATTATGTTGTTTTAAGAACTGAGTAAAATGATCTCCATGTTTATCCAACGGAATGTGCCTTGTTGAACAGGGAGGAAATTGAGAACCAGAGAAGTAAAGTGGCTGGCCCAAGGTCACACAGCACAGGCAGGGCAGGAGCCCCAGGCCCCTGTTGTTATTCCCACGGCTGAGTCATTTTTATCATGCTTTTCCTTCTGTGTTCCTTGGGGGGGCTGGGAAAGAGGTAAGTAGGAGAGAGGAGAGAAGAGAGACAGAACAAACAGAAGTCAAGAGGGTAGGAAGAGGTAGGAAAAGAAAAGAAATTGACAAAAGCAGCCAAGAGGAAGCACGGGGAAGCAAGCGAGTTGGGCTGGGAGAAGCAAGCGCAGTCAACCCTGAGACACCTCCACAGTAGCTCACTGATGGGCACCTGGGGGGAAAGCAAGAAAAGGAATCAGGGCTCAAAGGATGTCTCTACAGGTAGCATTAGAAATAGGGCTTGAAGCCGGGTACTTTGGGAGGCTGAGGCAGGAGAATTGTAAATTTGAGTGCAGCCTAGGAAGCTTATCAAGACAATAACAAAACAAACAAAACACTAAAAGGGCTGAGGGTATAGCTCGGTGGTAGAGCACTTGCCTAGCATGTGTGAGGCCCTGGGTTCGGTCCCTGCCCCCTCAGAAAGAAAACGAGTAACAGTAGGATTTGAACACTTGGCTGCATGAGTAGAAGTACAGAATAGGAAGAGAGCTACACTTATCCAAAGTTGGGGTTCAGTTCACAGTGGAGAGGAGGGAGATGTGAGAGTGCACCAGGGCAGTTCAGCTAATCAGTCATGGAATTTAGTCCGCAAATGAGAGCATTAGGAAGATGAGTATCAGTAAAAAGACAGAGTGAGGCAGTGTCCATCCCAGGGAGGTCAGTGGAATGGTGGGGCAGGGTGGAGAGAGGAACCCTTGAAACTGAGGTTGTGGAGGTGTCACTGTATTTGGTAATGGACCAGATCAAGGCTGTACTCATGGCGAGGGACTGTCCTCAGGGTTCCTGAAACAAACTTATTTTGAGTATATGAATTGTTCTTCAACTTGAAATGATACAGGAATAAATGAACCATTTACTTCCTAAAAACTGGGCTTGGGTCACTAAAAATATATTTAATACCTGGCATGGTGGAATATGCTTGTCATCCAGCTAAGTGGACCCTTAAGTTACAACCGGCCTGGCATACAAACGACCTGAGGTACAAACAGAATTTTAGTTTCAATTTACAACCAAAGTCTTGAGTTACGACCAGCTGTCTATGCTTCCACATGGTCTCAGTTACAGACTTCACCCTTAAAGATTTCTGGAAGGCACATTACAGCTTCGTTCCCCCAATGGGGTTGATGAGAAGTCCTGGGCCAGTGTCTCTCTAAGGACACTGAGATCTGCCTGTGTATAGGAGAGAGACTTTGAAGGCTGTGCGAAGGAGCCTGAGCCTTCACTTGACCAACCTGAGTTATAACCAGCCCTTGTGAACCAACTGAGTTCATAAGCCAAGGGCCCACTGTACTTGGGCGGCTGAGGCGGAGGATTGCAAATCCAAGGCCAGCCTGCGCAACTTCGTGAGAACCTATCTCAAAATAAAATTTTAAAAAGGCTGGAAATGTAGATCATTGCTGCCTAATTTTAATCCCCAATACCAAACATACACAAACACATAATTTTTAGTGACTTAGGGAAATATCCATAATGATAGTGGAAAAACACTCACAAACACAATTGTATATTAAGAAAGAATTAAAAAGAAAAATGTTCAAAAGACTAACATTTCTGTCAATGATAGGCTCATAGATGCTTTTTCTTGCTTCTTTATACATTACCTTTCATACCCTCCCACACACACACAACCTACATGTCTCCTCGATGCTATATGTCAGTGATGGCAAATCTTTAGAGCTTTCAAGGGTACAAACAGCCCACTGTGACATGTGTGCCATAGGTTGGCCGCCGTTGGTACATATCATTGCTTTGGAACATTTTCAGCTGGACACTATGATTGTCCTCCCATGAGACTAACTGTAGAGCAGCCCTATTTTTAACATAGGCCACGCACCCTGGTTTCTGAAGCCACGTTCTTACTGATGATGGGCAGTCAGGTTTTTGTTTCTGAAAACTTTGCTTTTTATAAACAACATTATAAAAACATCAATCTTTACACTTTTGTCTGTTTACATCTTAGGGGAAAATCATTGAAGCATATTAGCTCAGTAAAGAGTTCTTTTTAAATTTATTATGGTAGTGCTAGAGATGAGACCCAGGGCCTCACATATGCTAGGCAGGCTCTCTACCACCGAGCTGTGTCTCTAGCCCAACAGGCCTTATCTAAAATTTTGTTACATATTGTGACTCTCTCCTCCAGAGGGACAAGAATGTCCTTTCTCTTGCAAACTTGCTAATACTGGATATTTTCTGTTTGTTAAATTATTTGCCAATCTGAATCAACTAGAAGATCTTGCTTCTGATTTAATTACATATCAAACTTAGTTATTTTCTACATGGTTGTGATCTTATCAGCACAATAGTATCATCCTTGAATATGGTAGATTAGAACATCATCATGTTAATAAACTGGAAGAGTATAATTTAATATCTCATTCTGTTATAGTGAGAGAGGACAGGAATTCTTGTTTAGAAACTTCAGAGATAAAGTTTCTTCTTAAATCTTATCTATAGGCTCAGCATAAAACCCACATTTCTCTCTCCTGGCTCTAGCTCCCTGATATGCTAATCTTTCGGTTCTCTCACAACTCAAAAATACAAAGGCAACATTTTTCAGCTTGCTGCCAAATTTGAAGGAAATGTAAGCAGTTTATGGACGCTAGAAATAAAGTAGGAATGTTTGGTTATGGCCACTGACTTCTGCAGAAGTAGGGCTTAGTGAAGCTTCACTCTGGCAGAATTCATCATTCAAGAGATTTCTTTGATCACAGCAATGAATATGATAATATAAGCAAGTCTTCAGGGACATGGAAATATAGCTCTGTTGTGTTGTCATGCATTCTAAATTTATTTGTGTATTTATTATGTAATTATTTATTTATTTTTAAGGGGAAAAGGTTTATTTAGCTCGCAGTTAGTAGAGGTTTCAGTCTATAGTTGGCTCGCTCCAAGACAGCAAAAGCAACAAGGGGCCTTAACACTGTCTCTCTGCCCCTTCTGTTTTATCTAGACTACTTAAGATGGGCAGCCCTCACCCTTAATCCCAGTGCCCTTGATCTTAGCATTACACCCTGAATCAATCACACACTCTAGATTCAGCCACCTCTGAAAAAAACTCTGCCTATGACCCTGTGAGGCTTGGCGGGGGGGACATTGAGACACAAACCATAGCCTTCTGCCCCTGGCCCCTTCAAAGACTCACACACACCTTTCTATGCAGAAGGTTATAATAATTTATTTAAACCAACTTGCACAGCTGAGATTGCGTAATACCTCAATGGAATAATAAAGAGGATTAAAAAATATTAATGGAATAATACCAGTAATGATAATAGATGCCATTTATTGAATGTTCCTTATATGATAAACATATTGTAAATATTAGCACACTGAATCCCCCAAATAACTTCATGTAGCAGGTATTATTGTCTCTATACCAATGAGTAAACAAGCTCCGAGAGGCTTGCCTGGGATGGTACACCTGGCAAGCAGAGATAAATATGCTAACTCTCCCAAATGGGACTCCGCTGTAGGGAAATAATCGTTGTGCACGCAAATAATGGACCTACAAATATGTGCACCGCAATATGTATATAAAAGTCTGAACTTTGTCGTTTATGCCTAACAGTAGAAAATGAACAAAATGAATGATAAGTCTATTACAGTGGACTCCCAAAATGGGAAGAGGTTATGTTACTAGAGCACCCACGAATTATGAAAAACCGAGAATGTCTGATATGGTCTGAAAAACACCTACATATGCCTATTTTTATAGTTTAAATCCTAAATATGCTATGTCTCCTTCAGTTATGTAATTTAATCTAATAAAATACAGCATTAAGAGAGCCTTAGAAAGTGCAGGTTGTTTCGGCGGCATCTTAGGGATTTTAGGCTTTAGGAAGAACAAAACTGAAAACACTGGCGAGAACTACAGGCAGCACAGCACGGCAGTCTGTTACAATATGGGAATGCTGGTGCCTCTGCCCAGGACAGCAGCCAATTAGCAGCAAGGAGAACTGAATACTGGTGTCGGATTGGCTACTTGCAAACCTCCACCAAAAAAAACAATTGGAAGGATATTTGTGGTTCTGTGGGATTCCAAGGGTTTCTGAGAACAATTGTTAGTTAGGTTCTAAGGAAAAATCTAGGAACAACTGAAGCTCACTCTCAACTGCGACTTCTCATGGTATACTCTATTTTCAAAACTATGTAGCCAAGAAAGGCCATATTTCAGATGAATATTTACTGACCACAATATGAAGTTAAATGGGGAAAAACGCAGTTGCATATAAATAGAAAAGGATGCTCTGAAGCCTGGGGAAGACAGTTTCTTTATGCTTCTTGTATATGTAGTGGTTATTTCTGCGTAGTGCAATAAAAGAACTTTTAAATTCTGCAGATATCCCAGTTTAACTTTTAGTTCATGTATTCGTTTCTCATGGCTGCTCTAACAAAATATTACTACAGTGTGACTTAAGCAGCCAATATTCAATCTCTCACAGTTCTTGAGATCAGAATTCTAGAACCAGTTTCATTAAACTGAACTCAAGTTTTCGACAACATGCTGACCTTTAGAGGCTTTCCAAGGAAACTCACTCCTTGCTTTTCCCCATCTGTGCCTCAGCT